TTTAATAAGTGGTACTGAAAGAGTGGTTTTCCACATTCTGAAAACTAAAACTAGACCCATGTCTATTAACATGCACTAGAGTAAAAATGGACCAAAGATCTAAATATTAAAACAGAAACACTAAGTCTAGTAGAAGAGAAAGTAGGCAGAAATATTGAAGACATAGGTGTAGGCAGAGAATTCATGAACACAGCCAAACTGCAGAGGACACACTTCAAAGAATCAACAACTAGAAACTCATCTTATCAAAAAGGTTTTGCACATTGGAAAAATTTCATTTAGTTTAACAAAGATGTACTCAATGGCAGTTAAAGAATAAGAAAAGACCTGTATTTGTTAGCTTTTCCTTGCTGGAACAAAATTCTTGACATGTGAAACTTAAAGGTGATGATTGCTTGGCTTGTGGTTTCAGAGGGCTCAGTCCACGGTCAGTGTGTTTCAAGGCAGAAGCACCATGGTGAAGGGACTGGTAACACAAAGTGCCTTACTTTATGTTAGTAGAAAGAGACTGAAAAAAAGAGTGCCTGAGAGAAAGGTCCAGGAACCAGATAGAGTTCCAAAGATCATGGTTTCTCAAGCCACCCAGATGCATCCAAAGGTGTGCTTTACACATGTGCTAGCTGTTCCTCACTGCAATCAAGCTGACAGTTCAGATTGGGCATCGCATCTAAGTTTTTCTGGTGTATTTGTCTCTTTAAAACACATTTTTGCACTTAAGATTTCTTTAACTCCATTTTATTATTGGAGTGACTATTGGTCTGTTACAGATTTCTCCCTTGCTATATACATTTTAAATATATTCCACACTTGGATATTTTCTCAAAGTTTTGAATTTCTAATATTCAAAGTTTTGTTTCCAAAGCTTTAAAAACTATGAGATGCAATGAAAACTACATTTAAATTTTTAAAATTTATTACAGTAAAAGACATATTGCTATTAATTTTCCTCAAAATATTTCCCCCTCATTTCAAACATACTTATAATTCTTGCCATTTTCTGAAGTCGCTGTGGAAGTCCTGCTCATGAATGACTTTAGTTGCAGTGTCACGGCTGTCTCGATATTTTGAATTGACTCAAAACATTTATCTTTAATGGTAATTTTTGGGTTTTGAGCAAGAGCTGGATTTCACACACTGCCAAGACCTGGTTGTGGAAGAAGGTGGATGAGGACACACATACTGCTGGTGTAAGCCCGCCTTTCCACTGCGTGGACCTGGGCGGCAGCCTGCACAGCACTTTTCATTCCATGTTATGAGGACACTCATGAGGGCGGACTCCCAGGATCACCTTAGAGAGTGGTGAGAAAGATGAGATCAGTGTGTGTAAACAGAAAAGGAGCTTTTGAGGGAGATTAATGACATTGTTTCCTTTACTGTAATAAATTTTCAAAATTAACATCATATATTTTGAATACCCCATATTTATATTTTCACCCCTATATTTTCAATTTTTAGTAGAAAATTATTTATTTATTTTTATTATAAAAAGGCAAAACATAAAGGATAGAAGTGATACACAATTTCAAAAAATAACATTAAGAAATCATCACTAGTTGATATATTGCATATGGTTATCTTAGAATTTTTGTTCAAGTTACAAACTTCTTGGTGCTCATCATCCTAAGATCTTATTCTCTGTATCTTTCTCAGATGAAGTTTGATTTAAATTTCAATTTTGGAATGAAAAGTAATATTTTCCAAAAAGTCAAACATTCCCTTGTTGTGAAATGTCAAATTCCTAAACTACTTATTGGAGACTCATTTATTTTCCATATTCTACAGGCCGCCTAAACAGCTACTTCTGTTTTCATCTGTTTTCCTTTTCTTTGTGGTCTTACAGGCAGAAATGGAAGACTCTCGCCTTACTTTTTAAGAGGAGGAAGGAGGGAGGGATGATGGGGAGGAGAGTGATTAGCGCAGGGGCTGTGCTGCGAGCTGAATTTGTGTCTGTGAACAACGCCTTAGTCTGATGATTCATGGACCCAATTGCCTTCTTGCTCCCTTATGGCATTTGCAGTGTTCAATAAAAATCCCCCAGGGCCCAATTTGTCCCAAGGTTCTTTCTCTTTTCTTCTAACCAAACCGTTTCTGAGTGCCCAAGTTAAACTCTCCCACAAATCAATTCTCTTTTCATTTCCTAATATACCTGTGGAGAAGTTTCCCAAGCAACCTTGTCTCGTAGCTGTAGCTGCGTTCTCCACTGCCATTTCCCTAAATCGCTACACAGCATATTGCCTGATTCTGTGTCTGTGTATAATCAAGAGGTGTTTTATATTGATTAATTTATATCGGTGTATTTATTTAATTTTCAGGGTTGATAAGCATTTCATGAATTTGTTAATAAAATGTTAGGTAGACCAGAATTTTATAGAAGAAAAAGAATATGATGGTAATTAAGAGCATAATAGAATAAGACTGTTTTCAGTCATTTGATGAGTTTTAGTTATTTACGATAACTCCCTTTACTGGCTATGAATTTTGAACCATGAAAGGCAAGTTCTTTGTGCACTATAGCTCATTAGCACTGACTGAGTAACAACTCAATTCCAGGGTCTGAATAAATTTTTTTTAATGCTGTTGTAGTCAGGACTTTTGCAGAGAACAATTAGAATCAGGACATGGAGTTTATAACATTATTCTCATAATGGTCACCAGAAGCTAATACAAGAAAATGCAGGAAATCTATCCACAACACCAAAAACATAGAATAAAGGGCCTAAATACCAGAGCAATTTCCCACATGAGTCCAGATGAAAACCCAGAGCTCATGACAATGCCTCCCACGAGTCCAACTGGAGGTCCAGAGCCCACGATAAGGACTCACACCAGTCTCTTTTCCGGATCCATGCTGGGAAGGCCCAAAGGTCAGCGGTGCAAGCCGGAAAGTCTATGCCAGCGGGGTGAAGAAGCTGTGCTGGTAGGTTGAGGGTTCTATGCTGGAGCTGAAAAGTCACACTCACAACAAAGACCACAGCTGTCCTGAAAGCACCACAGCCATCTTCAGTGACACAGAGGCTCTGAGCTTCTCCGATGACAAGCACAGTTGGGTACACGCCAGGAAGCAGTGTCACAAGTTCATCCTGGAGACCAAGTGGCACACATCTTTCCCTCCAGAGCCAGGAAGCAATACTTGATGGGAGGACCAAATCTTCTCCAGGAGAAGCACCGGCTCAAACGGCAACTCGTAGGAGAACCCACAATGCCTCCTTAATGCCTCAACTCAATAACGCATCAATGCCCTCCTTTTCCTTCTCCAGCTCTCTCTTTATGCTGGCAACTTTCCCCAGGTGGGATATCTGAGCTCAGCTCAGTGCAATGCTGATGTAATCCAGCTGGCGGTAATTAACTACCAGTTCTTAATCCATAGCAAATGCTGAAAAGAACATTTCAAGTCAAATTTGATAAGGATCTTGAATATCTACAGTCAGCGTAATTAAAAAGCAGATAAGGAAATAAAAAAAATAGCCATCCATAACCATTGAGCTTGTATCCTTCACCACACTTTACTGTGTGTAAATTTATACACATGTGCATAAACACAGATAAATGACAGGAAAACATCATGAAATGTTCTATTTTAAGTTACTTGGTACATTCCAATATTTTTTCTATTTTAAAAATGTTGATTAACATTTGTTGATTTAATAACAAATCAGGAGTTACAACCCGAAGAAATACAGCCATTGTATCAAGTGTGTGCCTGTCATTTTACACTCTACTTTCCCCTGATATTGAAATCTCTAGCATTGCTAGGGCGTTCATTGGAACATGCCCTGTCTCCTTGAAACAACAGCAACAGAACAGGCAAGCTAGCCTTATGCAGATAAGTTGAAATAGTTAATCCAACACAATCCAGTGGTTAAATACCTCAGGTAGAAAACATGGATCTGAGCCTGGTGTCCTCTTCCGCCCTAGCCTCAGCTTCCTCCAATTCCTCATCTACACATCATAGTTTCATAAGAGCAGCTTGCTTTCCTACCCTCTCCCCCACCCACTCACTGCCACTATATGGTCTCTTAGCACTGTGATTCCAGAACATTTTTCCCTCATTATCAGGTGGGCTAATTCCTTATCACAACTCACTGTAAAAATGAAAAGTCATTAATAAACATTTGAATTGATTGTTGAATTGGCAAATGAATTCACACATACTTCAAATCTACATATTTGTCCAGTGCCAGCAGGGCAGGCAAATCTGTGGGGCAAAGTATTTCACTCGACAAGCCCTATTTCTTCCTGTGTAGAATGGGAAAAATAGCATCACAAGGTTCCCACGAGGATTACATGAAATAGTATTGAGAACTTGTCACTTAACAATTCTTCAATTCGGCAAAAATTTAATATCCAGCTACCAAGGACTACAGGTAGTGAGGGGTATGAGCTGGCTCATTTTGAAGAAAGAACATTTTACAGGGATTCTATGAGCCTGCTGGTAAACCACCTGTAGTCTGCCATCAGCCATTATGAGCACAGAAGTCAGTGGATGTCACTCTCACTCTCAAGACGATCGCTAGCACACCACTGACTAGAGATGCAGTGGGATGACACAGTGGTGACCCAGGATTGACTGTGAGTCAGAGTTTGGGAAATAGGATGCTTGGTATGGAGTGACCTTGGAATGAACCTTTTTTGGGGTGAAGGGGAAAATGAGGAGTTGGAGAGGCTGAGTTGCAGCATGGCTTGGACACTTCTGCCTAAATCCCAGGATTGGAGTGGTCAGTCAAGACCATCTGAGTTGGACCTAGGGGGGCCAAGACTTTAAACTCCTTCATCCCTCAGGTCTTGGACACAGGCAACCCTAGGAAAGGTCTGTCCTGGGGTGAGGCAGTGTCCCACTGAGATGGTCCTGGAGGCAGGCACAATGCATCTTCCTCCACAAGGTGATCTGGGTAGCATATAACAAGGTCCTGCACATGATAAAAGAATCTGTTCCGGCTTTTACATGTCCCATGGACTAGTGAGCTAGAAAAAAAAAAATATTGTATCTTTAAATTCCACAGGTCAGTGCAGGGCTGCGGAGCAGACAGGCGCTGAGGATGCATGATGTATGAACTGGTGCACACGGAAAGGAAAGGAGAGGAGAAGAGAGGAGAGGGCAGGAGGCAGGCAGCATGAGAGCCAGAGCTGCCCAACAAAGTCAGGAGGTTGTTTGCTGACTCCGAGGGACCAGGGAGTTATAATGGAGAGCACCAGAGCAGCTGAGAACTATGTCTGACGTGCATTTGTGTCCATCCAAAGAAACCGGCGATTGGTCAACTTTTAACAAGACAAAGTGCAAGGCAAAGAATCCCTTAAAAGAAAGTGCATATTACCCAGATGGGCCAGGACCACGTTGGTGTGATTTTCCTTCTCTTCCGCATTCTCTAACAAACTGTGACATCTTCTGCAGCATGTCAAGGTGAGTTGCAGCAAAGCCCACAAACTTTCCTTCCTTACCTTTGCAGCATTGATCGGAACACAGCTGCCGCGGAGAATTTGTGGCCCAGTGCTAACGTCTGTCAATAGAAAAGCTGGAGTCATTTTCCTGCTGACACACGTCCCGCGCTCCCCCTTTCCCTAGCTCAGAGGAGGGGTGGATGTGAAAACTGACCATGGAGCAGCCGCTGATTTATACTTCTTTTTCGGACCAGGGGATTCATATTGATTAGTTGGGTGAATGAGTCTGTCCCTTGGTTTCAAAGGTAGAGTGAGTGTCTGCCCTTGGAATAGATCATGGCTCCACTGTGACACAACAGATAAGATTCACTGTGCTCTTCTGCAAGTCTCAATGCCTTCACCATACTTATGAAATATACCTGTCAGTGATACTTAACCTGGTTATGGAAAAATGGATCTTGAAAGAATGCACTTCACAGCAGGGACATCAAAATGTGTTGTCACCAACTTTCTTAAGCTTTTTTCCTGTTACTTAACGTATTTATTCCGAATTTATCATCAGAGTGGTTGATGACATATTTGTTATGTGAATTACATTTTCTTCCTGTTATTCTGTTCTGGGATCTTACCATTTATATAAATGTTTACACAAATAACTGTTGACTGAGTTTCTCTTCCACAAGAGGCAGTTGCTTACTGAGAGCAGGTCCTGGGAAAGACCCAGCAGAGTACATTTCTATGTTTTAATGGAATATTTGTCTTTTGCATTTATAATTAATATGTTTACAAAAATAGAGCCATGGCTGTGTGTTTCTCAGGAATTGTCTGAAGTTAGATGATGGTTTGGGTGGAGAATATAATTTCATATTGATTTCTTTGTTCTGTGTTGATTTTGGCAGATAAAGATCAGATTTTAAAAATTTCTTTCCATCTCAGCTTGTCAGAAGTGAGTTTCTTTCCTGGGGTTGAAGTTTGCTTCCTTTCATTCTTCCCATGGTGCTTCCTCCTTTTCATCCGAGAGGACCTCAAAATGAAGTAGTTAGCATCCCCAACCTGGGCATCCTTCAAGTGGTAAAGATATTGTTAATTTTTCCTTTGATGATTTTAATTTTTCTCATCCTGAAAGAGCCTGTATATAGTTTCTTCAACTATTCACGGATTAATTCAATTGTGCATATTTTAAAGAGCCTTGTTAATCTTTCCAAGCAGTCAAGCCCCACAGAGTCCTAGAAATGCCCAGAGTTCTTCTTCATCCACCAGCTGGAATCCACTTCTCTGCATCTGGTTGCAGAAGAAGTATTTGTAGCATTGGGCTTGGGTTTCCAGGGTGATTTGTGGTGATCTTTACATCTCTTCCAGTGGTGCTGAGTCCCTTTTGTTTTCCAAGTGTCCTGCAGACACATTTAATCAATCTGGAATTTCTATCGCAGTAAATTCATATATGGACAGGAGCAAGAACAAGAGAGGTAGTAAAGGATGAGTAAAGAGGAGAGGAATAAATTTCTGAGAGGGGGCATCATTTTTTTCAATGTTCTCTGAGAGTTAGTGTCTTTCATACTGGATCATTTCTGAATGAGAAAGCACAAACTCCAGACCCAACTTCTAGAGGCAAAGCTACTGCAGACATATCTAATCATGGTGATGCTTCATCATCGTAACTGAATTTATAAAAATCATAAACTCATTGTAGAGAGCTCTGTGCTTTTCCCACACTCCATGAATATACATTGGATCCTCCGACCACCACTTAATGTCCAGAACAATGTTTACACAGATTTCACTCCTCTTATTCTTAATTACTGACCTGTAACTCTAAGGCAGTCTGGCTTTTATATATTCATCGTGCCCTTAGCTTTTGACTCAATGAAAGTTGAAATTCATGGTGTACAGCTTACATTTATTTTTAAATATGAATTTTTAAAGTACAGCATTCTCTTAAATAATCAAGATGAGGTATAAATCCATAGATCTGTTTGAATCCCATCAGATCAATTTCTCAAAGGGTATGGCTGTCTGACTCTCTTTGTTCTCTGTATTCTTGGCATTGTGATACTCTAACCTCCCTGTGAATCGTTCTCCTCTATCTGGCCCAGAATATGAATCATATTCAGTCAATAGATGACAGCTGTGATTACTGTGAAACAAAAATTGGTGCCCACTATGGAGTGCATAAAATAAAACACCAACTTGGGATCCAATGAAGCACAGGGCAATGCACAGGTCTAAGTGTGAATGGTGAGCACAAAAGACTGAAGGTGTGAGGGCAGAAGCGGTCAGCAGACACGGGGCTGCCTTTATTTCCCTCACATGTCCCCACAGAACTTCTGAAACAGGAAGCTCTCACTGGGGGTGCTCCTGGTTCCCCAAAGGTGCCAGGGCCCAAGGCTGTCACCTGAGTTCCAGCAACTGCTCTTTGCACACCTGTCCTAGTCCTCCCAACCTACTTGCTTTCTCGAAATGCAGGAAACCTCAGAGCCTGTCCTTGAAGACGAGGGTCATATTCACCTACTCCTGCTGTCAGAGATATCCTTGATCCCACAGGTAGCTGCTGGGGTTTGCAAACACATCTTTATTCCCTGCTGTATATAATATCTGGCTTTCAGGCTGGCTGGGGCCATGAAGCAGCTCTGGTTCTGTTCTCCACAATGTGGTTTCAGAGTTGCTCTGATAGCTGTGTTCACAGGAGGGCAGGGCAGGAATCCATGAATCCCACTTCACTGGGCATTTGCTTGTCTATGGTGGACGCTGGATCACTCAAAACAGAACAGTCTTAGTCTTGTGATGTATACACCTGAGTGCTTAAAAAAGTCATAGAGGAATTTTGGTTTTATACTATACCACTGTTTTATATGAGCGATGCTCTGGATCCAAACAGAAATTAAGCCCTAAGTGTGGGGATATCCAGTGAGGTGCCAGACGCTATGCTAAAAGCATCCAGAGGAGGGTGTGAATCACGGTCCTTGGCTATCAATGTGCTTCTTACCTAGACAGGAAGATAAGCCATGAGTGGAAAAGCAATAGCAATATATTAGAACAACGCGGAAAGAAGGTGCTAAGGAGGGAGAGATATGTGGGAGAGTTATGGGTCATCCCTACCTGTCTTATTTAACCCTGATTTATGAAAAACTGTTGATCTGGACAAGTGAAATTTTGCAATGTAGCTGATGAATGAATGGGCTTTGTGATGTTACAAATGTGAGCTTTCTCCGTAAAGGACCATTAATAGATTGCTTTAATATGAAACACATTTTCCCATGGAAACAGATGCTAAAAATGGTGGCTGGGCCAGCAGAAGCCAATTTAACTCAAAATGCAGCTGAAATAGTGATGTCTCCCAGTAGCTTCCCATTCTATATCCGGTGACTAAACATTCCACATGCTAGCTCACATAAGCATAGTATTATTTTTGATGGGGGCCATATCTTTACTATGTATTCCCTGGCCTTGGGGTTTGCTCTTTTTACTCCACAGCCAAGAAGCAGTTTTCTTTCTTCTTTGTGTAAGGTTGGAATGGGACCTGGCTCCCCCAGCCCCCAGCCTGCTGGCCCTCAGAGGCACTACAATCTGCGGGAGCTCAGCTCAACACCAAAGCTGTCTTTGGCAAGCACGGATGTTTAAACGAGATAAGACAGGCCAAGATATTTTGCATGTCCCAGCACATCTGGAGATATATGGAGACACCCAAAAATTCACACTGGATGCTTCAGGGACTTTGCCTGCTGAGGTACAAGACTTCTAGGGGACTTTGATCACAGATATTTATTAACATCTTGCTGCCTAATGTCCCCCACTTTCTTTCCTTCTCTATCAGAGGGACTCACTTCCTCTTTGTTCTCTGCAGACGGCCTTTCACTCTCTGTCTGCCTCCGCCCAGGCACAATAAATTCCATGCCGTGTTGCATTCACACAGCCTGGTGCTCCCTTCTGCACCCTCATATGTTATACTTTGTACCTTCTCTTAGGTCCTGAGAAGATGCCTTCCATCTCTTGTGATTTTCCAGTGTCACCATAATGGGAACACAATCCTCTCTGCCTGAGGACACATGCATCTCTTGTATTTGGAGATAGTGATTCAAAATGGTTTCAGGGACACCAAAGGACATTCTTTTGGTTAAAGGAAATCTGAGAAGTCTACAGGAAGAAGGCTGAGAGGAGGAGGAGAAGGAGGTTAAAGTCATAGTAAGACAGGCTCAGTTAGACTGAGAAGGAGCTAGCTAATAAGGCTGCTCTGATGTCCATGTATTTCAATGATAAACAGTTGCAAACTGGAGCTGTATCTCCAAAAAAGTGAATATTTTTGTTGATCTGTTTTCCTGTTTTTTAAAATAGTGGCTCAAAAGAATCCCTATTTTATTTGCTCTCCCTGTGTTATGGGATGATTTGATTCAACTGGGGAGTTCTGCGGCCACTCTGACTTAGGGTGTCCCATTTAGTTGTGGTCTCCTGGCTCACAGGGTTGGATTAAAGAGGTTAGATTAGGAGGGTGATTCAGAGCCCAGGACGGCTGGGTGATAAGGTGCACAGCCACTCTGCTCTCCGTGGGATCTCTAGCCGAGTACATGGACCTCTCCATGTCTCTAGACTCCCAGAGAATCAGGAAGGAATCTGCTGGAAGTTAAGGCTGCAGGTAGTTCTGTGGGTCTTAAAAGTGTCTAATCTGCTATTAAATCCAGCGTGAACTACTCATTTCAGATCGTGAATTTTTCATCACTAAGATACCCACCTGGTTCTTATTCTCTGTTTTTCATTAGTTTTATATTTTTCATTAAATCCTCAATCTTATCAAATATCATTTAATAAGTATTTAGGATCCTCAGCAAGAAATTTTACATCTCAGTCATTTCTGTCCTGTTGTTATTAACTGATTTTCTTCCTGACCTGAATCACATCTTCCTGCTTCTTTTATATCTAGTTAGTTCACTAGAAATTGGGCATTGTGAGTGAAAGGGTTTTGGCCCAGGCCGGATACTGTAGCCTGTAAAGCCAAGGAGCTCCTATCTCCCCCACCCTTAGGAATTCCCT